TACTATTACTATTATACACAACTACATATACCTAATACTGTAAACAAGTTCAAATTATATTATACCATTGATAAATAAATTTATGTCCCTTGAGTGATTCTTGGGAAAAATTTTAATATTTTTTGTAAATATTTTAGTATAATACAAAAGATCCAGGTTTTTTAACTTGCCCACCCAATTTTAATGTATTTTTTCAAAAGCACGTTTGTAGAAAAACATAATAAATATTCAAAACATCAGTACCTTGGCGTGTCACAACTCCTGAATCAAATATTTGAGTGATTTTATTTTAAAATATATTCAATTTATCTTAAATTTTTCAATTTCACTACAAACTATAAAACATTAAATAATGTATTTTTCATATTTTATCATAGATTCGAATAATAGCAATTTTTAAAAAATTGATAATCTTTGTACTCAGTTTTACCCGTCAGTTCTATGTCCAATGTTAAAATTCAAATTTCCTGAGAAATATTAAAGTTTAAACGTCAAGTCCTCGTTTTAACTCAAGTGTTGGTAAAAATTACCTACAGAGCCCGCCCTTTGCACGAGAGTCATCTTGAAAACAATGCAAGCGGCAAAGTTGTGGTGAATGCACGTATAGTTACAGTCAAAATTACAGTAATGCGGTGAGTAGTTATTTTCTTACGTATACACCGAAAAAAATATATTCGTTGAGTTAACATTTGCCTAAATGTCATTTTTGAAAATGTTGTTTCAACAAAAAACCTATTGGATTAATCTATATTTTGGTGTCAAAGCAATAGTCAGAGTTTGTCAAAGTTTATTTGTTCATTTGACAATTTAAAATATTGATCTTACATGAACTAATTGTTTGAATTAAAGTTTTTATCCTATTTTGATTTAATAGCTGGAATTGGTTAAATCAAATACTAAAATTGTTGGGATTACCTAAAAAAACTATTAGATTAACGTTTAGTTGCTGTTTAATCCACAACATTAAATTTGTTCATTTAACAAATTGTAAATGTTATTTTAAAATTTAAAATGTTAAATTTGCATTCATAAAGTTGCCTTAACACTCTAAGAATGTTAAATTAACAAAATTAGCAGATTGGAACAAATATCCTAATTTTGTTCATTTGACTGTTATTTGTTGTTCAATTAAACAATACAATTTGACATTTTTAGATGGTTAAGTAAACGTGCAAAAACCATTGCTTGTATTTAAAGTGCATAAAGAGTTGAATTAATATTTTTTTTGTTGTTTCAACAGCTTATTTTTTTCAGTGTATATATTTCATTGTAATTTATATAAGGCTATATGTGATTTGTTGATAAGTAGCATCCACTAATAAAAAATATCAGTAAAATACTTAATTCCGAATTATAATCTCAAATTTTTATCCCATTCATCAGTACCGTGTCGTCAGAACCATGTTCAATTTTTCTGTTATCTTTTTTTCGCAATTTAAATTCTGGTTAAAACAAAATATTAGGCGATACAAAATATTAATAAACAAAAAAGTTATAAAAGGATTTCTTAGAAACCGATTTTATGAAAACCGGTCAACATGGCCTTGCCTAATTTCTCAGGGTGTTTAAATAAAAAAATATTGTGATTTTAGTTCATCCCATTAGGTGAAATTTCATGGAATGACTCATATATAATATTATGTACCAAGTTTATATGTTTAGTAGATTCAGAGAAAATAAGCTGTAAAAGACGAAAGAACAGACAGACGTGACAGACCCGGGACTGATCCTGTAAGGGGTTTTACATCGGATGTACGGAACCCTAAAAATTGCTAATTATAAAGAAAATAGAGGTTTAAATATAAACGGAATGCTTCCCTGAAAAGTTGTGATTTTCGACCAGTTTTTTTTTTAATATTATACCAAATTTTCCATATTTATTTTATTTTTTTATTAAAATTAAAAATCAATATTTTTATACAAAAACAGCAAAATAACTCAAAACATACATATTTCTACAAATAGTTTAAAAAATACTATTTAATTTATTCCATTTTAATAGTTCTATAGGTAATTGTTTATAAAAATAAATTTCATACAATTTTAGGTCAATTGTATTTATTTTTTTATCTATTATAGATAATTATTATAATAATTATATATTATCTATTTAATAGTCGGTATCGACATAAAAGATTTTAATCTTTTTAAAACATTAAAAAACAAATTAAATAAGATATAAAATTAATTATTAATAATTTATTTTTGATTATTAAACAATTATATTTTCATAATTTTTTACCCATTTTTATTTGCTATTACTTAATTACAAATAAAGGGGTAAGAAGCAAAAGGGTTGGGAGAGGAAGTATGGTATTATTAAATAAATAATATTAAAGTTGCGGGTATTACCGTATATACATCGTGTTATTTCGTACATGTACTGCAGTTTTACCAAATAAGAAATTGTATTAAGAAAAAAGTTAAGATAGGATTTGTTTAACAAAAACTACAAATATAAAATTCCCACAATTAACACAACAGAACCATAGCTCTTTGTCTTTTCCAAATTCTTCGCATATAATGCAAATATCATTTATCACATTTCGTTCTCCGTCAAAGAACCCTTTGACATCTTCATCATTATCACATAAATCATTTGGATCATTTGAAGGCTCTTCACCTGAATCTGAAGAACTGAAGTCAATTTCTCTCTTGCTAGATTTTTTTGGTTCTTTTTCTTTTTTATTCTTCCGGTTTTTCGTGTTTTTCAATTACCTTTTCATTGTCTTCATTGGAGCCGAAGTTAATATTTCTGAATGTTTTTTTAGGACCCTTTTCTGTTGTTACATTTTGATATCTTTTTTGTAGTGCCGGAAAAACTTTGTCAAATGAACAATGTTGTTTGGGAGTTTGTGCAAGGTTATTTTCACTAGTAATACCATTAGAGGTAAAATTATTTCCGGAAATTTTTTTGAGCTCATGAATATTTTGAAAAGAGTCGAAGACGAGGGATTATTTTCTAAAAATATTCATGAGCTCAAAAAAATTTCCGGATTTAATTTGACCTCGTGTGGTATTCGGTAAAAAAATTTGTGTTCAGAAAATATCGGGAATTTTCGTTTTTTGAAACAAATATTTATTTATTCGTCTACATTAATGTTGTCGCCTTCAAAATAGTCCCCATTGGATATTATGCACATGTGCCAGCTCTTCTTCCAATACTCGAAACACTTCTAAAACTCGATCTTTGGGATAGCCTTTAGCTCTTTCAGCGATGCGCTTTTAATGTCATCTATGCTTGTAAAACGACGGCCCTTTAAAGTTCTCTTTATTTTTGGGAATAGGAAAAGGTCAGACAGAGACATGTCTGGCGAATATGGAGGCTGGGGCATCATTACAGTATTGTTTTTGGCCAAAAATGTTGTTCAAAATTTAACAATTTTAGAACAAATTTTGCTGCCACGCGTTTCATACCCAAAAAATTCGAAAAAATTTCATGGGATGAGCCAATCGATATACCAACATCATCAGCGACTTCTCTGATGGTTTATAACCATTTCTTCCACTTTTTCCATGTTTTTATCGGTTGTTAATGTGCTTGTGCGTTCGGGGCGTTCGTCATCTTCACGGCCATCTTGGAAACTCTTATACCACTTGTAAACTCTTGTTTTACTTATAGAACATTTCACAGAATTTATTTCATTTTTTAAGCAAAATTGGATACAAATTCTTCGATCCAGTTCTTTTAACGAACGAAACATCGCCGAGCTCATAAAACACGTCTAACCTTAGCGGCTGCCACAGACAAAGTAAACAATGAAAATAGCTAAAGTTTTTATCATACTTCGGGGGTATGTATACCAACATAATAAAGAAAATTTTATGAAAACCGGACCCTCCGAACCCGCAAAATTTAACAATTTCCGTTATTTTCTGAACACACCTCGTATCTATACCCTATAGGGTATTAAGTGAACCACTTCCAACCTAATAAATAAGGACAGACTTATGTCTCGCTGTTTTAACTTCCAAAAATGGCGTGTACTTAACTCGGTACTACGGTAATACCCTTCGCTCCCCCACAAGTGCATTTTAGCATGTAGGTTTTTAAATTTACTATTTGATTATTTTGGTTTTCTCAGGTAATTTTGTTAAAAATTCTAAGGAATGTTTTAAACGATGTTTTAAGATTCTAAAAATGTTACCACCATTTCTCAAATTTTAAAGAAAAAAATAATAACTCGAAAATTATTCACTTTAGGTACCTATAGGAAGGGAATTTTACTCAGAATTTTATATAGAATTTAAAAATTTAAAAATATATGGGGTGTTCTATTTGAAATAACAAAGTTGATGTCAAGTGGCATTTTGTACAAAATATTAAAAAATAGATTTAAATGGATTATAAACGCTTTTAAAATTTAAAATCGATATCTTTTTCCGTTCCCCAGAATCTTCTAAAAGTCTAATCCTAATTTTTAACAATTTTTTAATCAAATTTGAATTTGAAAATTATAGTTTGCATTGCCCAAAATGATTTAGTTAAAAGCACTACATTCAATACATACTCTCTAAAAATGAATTAGTCAAAAATGACTAATTTAGTAATTATTAGTGGCTGCTTTTTCACTTGTACCATGGTTAACCATGGAATACCATGGTATCACAAAATTTAACAGCCAATTCTTATGTAAAATTGTCCCCTAAATTCGAAAATACCGTCAAAAATTATGAAAGTGGCGTAGTTTTTGAGATATAGTCAATTCCATATTAAATGGAAAATTGACTATATCTTAAAAACTGTTATACTTTTTTAACTTTTGACGATATTTTCGGATTCAGGGGACAATTTTACATAAGAATTGGCTGTTAAATTTTGGGATACCATGGTATCCCATGGTTAACCATGGTACAAGTGAAAAAGCAGCCACTAATAACTATTAAATTAGTCATTTTTAACTAATTCATTTTTAGAGAGTACATCATACTAAACACTACATTCAATACATATATCATTTATTAACGAAATAATATTTAAAAATCACATTTTACCATCCTTATTGCAAAGCTGTTTTTTTGTAGTAAGCAAGTGGGGCAGCATATACAATTTTCTTTTGAACTGGCACCAATACAACCGGTGCTTCTTTACGAACTGTAGCCTTGAAACCATCTGTAGGTGTTGCGATATAATCTACAATTCTTTTGCTGCCATCGGCTTCCAAAAGAGAGTAGCTACCGGTCACAACATCACCACGACGAGATTCGATTTTGTTTTGGTGATTGGCTGTGTAGGGGTCGCTCAAAGAGTAGCCGTAGTCGTATTCCGCTGGAGCAGGTGATACGTGGGTCTTGGTGACTGGGACTACGATGGGTTGATGGTGAACTTTGGTGTAGACTGGTGCGGGGCCTTGTTCAAACACTTTGGTGACGATTGGAGCTGATTGTTGCACGTAACGATGGACCGTTGGGACTGAGAAAGTCTTGTAAGCGATTGGTGATGAGACTCTTTGGTAAGCCAAGTGGCTGGCTTGCGTGGCCACCAATAAGGTGGCGAATAGTATAAACTAAAAAAAAATGTTTTTTTATAGATCTATAAAAAAAATAATTTGTGTTTTAATACCTTTGAAACCATTTTGTTTTACGAATCTATTATTCAACTGATAGTTTTTGGAAAGGTGATTGGGGTTTTATAGTAAAAAATAAGTAATTAATTAAACTACTTTTAACATTTATTTAATTTGTGTTTTAATGTTTTAAACGGATTTAAATCTTTTTTGTCGATAGGTAATACCGACTATTAAGAATCGTTTAGGTTAGGAAAGGTTGGGAAAACATGTGTAATAATGTAGATAACAAATTTAATATAATTGATTTTTACGTGATAAGTTTTTTTTAATTTGGTTATTTTACTAAGAAAATAAAGACATAAATAATAGTATATTATGTATCAAGTTTGATAAACGCCATTTTATACACGAATTAATGAGTGTATAGAAAAGTTTATAAACAAGGTGCATACTATACTTTTTCTACGACAAATACTTATTATTATCTTAAACTGATTTAATTCAAATATTTTTATAGAGCGCCATCTATGAAACAATAGGGGAATCCGTCAAATATCAAATTTTTATATTTTATAAACACAGATTATAAAGGTTATAAATCGAAATGTATTTCTTGAAAATGGACAGTTTTTTACAGTGAAAGTAAAGAAAATGTTTTATGAGCACTTTACAGTGGAGTCCGTGCCCGAATTTAAGTTATAAACTTTTCAAATATTGGCGTTGAGAAACTATTTAATTCTTTTGTATTTTTGTATTGAGATAATAAAATAATTTTCACATTTAGTATTATTTTACAAGAAAGGCACTTTATTTTAACGATTGTATGACATTTGACAACTGTCAACTAACTTAAAACTAACTTCAGCCCGTGACTAAAACGCCGTAAAGCCACAACTTGTCAATGTGTATTTAAAAGGTCACTTAGTGTCAAGGAAACATGTACGATAATGGTCATTTTAAAGGTGGGAGTAGAAAAAATTAATAAAACCACAACTAGTCGCAGTGACGTTAAGTAAATATATTTTATAAAATTTTATTATAGGATAACTAAAAGACATAGTAAAACAATTATTTTTGAAATGATTTATTAATCTTTGTACTATAGTATACGTATTAAATTTTTTTGAACACTAAAAAAAGATATTTTAAGAAAATATAATAATAATTGTTTGATTTTTTTTATTACATTAAAAAGATAATATTTTATTTAAAATAACATGTTTAAAAAGAATAAGTAACTTTATTAAGAAAAAAGCAAATTTAGTAAAATATGTATTAAAATCAAATTGACTTTTATTTTTAAATTGCAAATGCTACTCTGTTTAAATAAAAGTTAATTTCCTTGAAAAAATTTGTAATGTTTAAATTAAAATAAAAACTATTAATTAAAAAAAAACATGGTCCGCCATTTTAAATTTGATAATAAATTAACATTTTAAGGGCAATAAAAAAATATTTTTTTTAAAAATCACCATTTTTGGTTCTTGATATTAAATTCGTGATCAACGACCCCAAAAACCCAAAAATTAACATTTTCCAGGTGATAATCTAATTATTTTTAAAAAAAGTCCGCCATTTTTGGTCTGCCATTTTGAATTTGATAATTTTAAAATCAAATTCGGACCAGTGTGCCATGAGTAGAATAAGCTATTCTACCATTATTATGCCTTAAGCTCAAGAAACACTTTATCCTTTTAATTTCTAAGAAGTTATTAGAGGACTTGAATTATCGCCGACGGTGGACGAGTGGTTAGTGCTGCTGACTACAAGCCGGAGGTCGTGGGTTCGAATCCCACCAGGAGTATGGCTGTTTATTTGTGTTTGTCCTATTGTATATTAGTCCTTCGGAGGGGACTTTAACCCCGCGGTCCGTTCCTACCCCTAACCCGCACAAGCCATTCAGTTGGCTTATGGGACTTCTTAAGAAGTAAGGGTGGAACTAAAAGAGCACTTTTGTATATAAACTTTTTGTATATAATAACTTAATTATATTAAAATATTAAAAACAAACCAAATTATAGTAAATTCAAAAGGAAACGACGTACACGTCATCAATCAGTTGATCGGGCACGTGTTGAGGGTTAGGAGTTTAGGGTGAGTCCAATGACACTCAGGATTTGTACTACTTTCGTTTATTTGTACTTAAACGATTATCACTACAACTTACACTATTTTCTGGCTTCAATCTACTTAATTATCTTATTTTTAGAGTTGTTACATACTAATTCATTGTTCGGAACCTAATTCCCGATTTCTGTCCGTGCCTTTGGTTTTGTTTAGGGTATGTCACATGACATACGCGAAGATGGTCTGACCATTTAGACCAATGAAAATTTAACAGCAACAATAGTTCTAACCAATAGAAAATTAATAATAAAACCCTAATATAGAAAAACAAAGACTCAGCAGAAACGAGGTTTAATGCTTGGAAAAGAGTAACTTAAAATATAAAATATTTGCACTACACGTGTATTTATAAAAAGATAACTTATCCTAAATTACAATGTAAATGACCCTTGGAAAGGGGTGTAAAGGGACTTTACAACACCTCCCCCCTAATTTTCAAAATTGAACCGAGGATTGGTGCAATTTTCATTAAGCTCATGCTCCTCTTCCACTACTTCTTGTGTTTCAGGACTTGAAGAGTTACCCGAGTCATCTTGAGGTTTTTTGGAAAGTGCTTCTTAATTCGTGGAAATAGAAAAGCATAAATTTTATAAAATAAAATAATAATTAGAATTAAAATGACTAATATGTAGTTAAGCATATTGTGCAGTGTTAGTTTATGAAAATGAAATGAATTATTGTTGGAAAACTCCTTTTCTTTTTCCTCTAAAACATCTAAATTTTGACTAATTCTTGTTAATGCATTGACATCAAAAGATTCTATTATTAATGGTGTACTTAACTTTGAAAAATTGTTTAAGGTGCTTATGTTAAAGTGTATTTCATTTTTAATGTCTAGTGGTGGAACATAATCAATTAATATTTCAGAAGAAAATTGTCTATGTGGGACAAGAATCATACTTTTAGTGTATGCAGTACACTTTGAATCTATTTGAAATATTCCAATATTAATTAATTTTAAAGATAATCTCTGGTTAACTGATTTACAATTTACATCAATATGTTCCTCTGTAGGAATAGCATAGAGCCATGAGTTTGCATTAGCTAATTGTAAAAATATTGGGTAATCCAATTGCATAATCCTCTTTTCACAAGATTTGGGAATATTTATTGAAGGTACAAACAAATTTGCTTCGCAACCACCGTGAAGATGAACTAAAAGAATGGGTTTTGTTTGTTCACAAAAATATTGATTTTGAACTGGTCTTTTGCAAAGTGATAATTCTAAATTATTCATCATAAAATAATGTTGTTTAATTGAATCTATAATAAGATACGTCTCTGGTGAGACAATAAAAGCATATTTATTCTTTGAAATTTGAGCGGGTAAACTTGATACTTTTATTATGTCATATTCACGTGGGCTTACTAGCGGAATTAATAGTAAAAATGCTAAACGATTATTGTAATAGTAAACATTAGTTTCAACTAAATTAAACAAAGTATGTGTGTTTTCTAACACTGGAGTTACAGGAAAACTTAATCCATCCATGTAATTTTGTAACTTAGATAATTCTTTAATTAATCTTAATGGACTAATAACTAATGGATGAAGTGATCCTTTTAATGCACTTAAAATTATTTCTAATAAATTCTCTTGTTGAGACTTAAAATTAATTTGTATTAATTCTAATAATGAAACTATTTCATTTAGTTTTAAACCTAATTCGCTACTTAAATTTATCTTAGTTTGATTTTTACTTAAATTGTTTGCATAGTTATAAAAGCTATTTAATCTATATTCTAACATTCTATAATTTTTGTTAGTATTTACGTATGTGCGATTTGCTTCATGAACAGTGCCTTTCACGATTGACGTTTGCTCTTTAATTAAGTTTACCTAATTGATCCAAAATTTCCGTAATGTTTGGAAGTGGAAATGCATCTGACTCCGTGACGTCGTTAAGTTTTCGAAAGTCTACGACAAGGCGCCACCGTTTATTTCCTTCTGAGTCAGCTTTTTTAGGAACGATAAGTATAGGAGAATTGTATGGGGATCGACTTGGTTCAATAATGTCGTCACATAGCATTTTTTTTATTTGATTTTGAATTTCTTGCTTTTGTTGCTGGGGTAATCTATAAGGTTTGACAAAAACTGGCTTCGAAGAAGTTATGGGAATAGAATGTTTAACAGCGTCAGTACATGTTAAAGTGTCTCCTTCTATATAGAATAACTCGTTAAATTCCCGACAAATTTTAATGATTGAGTCTTTTTCTTCTTGGTTCATATGATCAAGACAAATTTGAGATTCTATTGCTTGTAGCCTTTTACCATTAGTGGTACTAAGAACGGTAACAATGTGATAATTATCCAATTCATCAAAATCAAGATCGAGAGAATTAATTGTTTCCGGATTTTCGGTTGAATTTAAAATGCTGATTTTACAATTTCCCTGTTTGGGTTCTACGATACAATTACTGACATAAATTCCTGGTTTAACTTCCTTATTAAGACATACTTTTGGATTTAGAAAATCTGTTTTGACATTGGCAATGATCTCTGATCTAGGAGGAATAAAGATTTTGTAAGGATTAGTAAGAGTAAAGGAGTAGTTTTTACCGCTTAATGGAATAGTAAGCTTTGACTCATCATAATCTAATAATACTTTATATTTTAGTAGAAAGTCTTTCCCTAAAATACCATCTGCAACTATTGAAAAATTATCTGGGACAATATGAAATTCGTGATTTAGGGCATGCGTTTCGCAAAGTTTTATGCTGGCCGGTAGAACACCTAAAGACATGATGTGAGAACCGGTGATACCTTTTAATTGAATTGTTTCATCTGTATAAATTAAAGCATCGTCATCCGTGCAACCTAATTTAAGAATGCTTACCTCAGCTCCCGTATCAACTAGCAAGGTCGCGGATTTAGATATCGTTGAACTTAAGGAAATATTTACGCAAGACGAGTTAGCTTTTTCGTCTGTTATTGTAA